TTATTTTTGGCCAGGGCTGGGTTTGAACCCGCCACCTCCGGCTTATGGGGCCAGCGCCCTAGTCCTACTTTGAGCCACAGGTGCTGCCCACTCCTGCCGCTTTAGAGCAAGACTTCAAATCAGGCAGTGGCATCTCCTGACTCTGTTCTTTTGTCTTTCTTTTGGATACACACTGGCACACACTCCTCCATGTCCCATTGGCCAGAAATACATCAAATGCCCATTCCCAGCCCAGATCTCAGCCCATTAGGATTTCCTTTGTGGAGGGGAAAGGGGCTGCCCCACCCCCACCCCACCCCGAGTCACAAAGAGAAAGTGCAGGCACTCCAGCCAGAAAGCTGGGGAAAGCCAGGCTTTCCAGGAAGAAGGGGGAAAAATTAGGGTAGGAAGCCAACAGTGTCTGCTGAAATATACAAAACAGTTAAGTGGAATTCTTAATTATGAGCGAGGGAGGGAAAGAAAGAGGACAGAAGAATAAAAGGGATAGACAGAGGCCCTCAACTCTCTGTGGGTATTCTTGTCAGCCACAAATGGCAATATAAGGAGACATAATGGCTATAAATGACAAGTCTTAGCACACGGTCCAAACAGAGAGAAGTGACCCCTGCCAACAAGGTGGCTCCTTCTCCCCTGACCACAATATCAAGCGCTCAGTAGCACATGGCCCATCCAGGGGAGGACAGGGCCCAGGCGGTGGAGAGAGAGTCTCAGAGCTGACGGCTCTGGATTAATTTTTGCTTGTTTGTTCTTGAAACATGGGACTGGGCAACAGTTCCTGCGTTTCTCCAGCTGCCCAAATATTTCTTGGGATGGCCTCAAACTATCCCTTCTGGTACGCGTGACTTGGAGGCTGGCTCCGCAGAGGGATGGATTCAGCAGTAAATCACTGAGTGCCTGGCTGCGTGGTGCGCTGGGCTCAGCTGTGCCGATTCCGATTTCCTGGCTCCTTCTCCCTGTCCCCAGTAGCTCCATCTTCCAGAGTTGTTTGTGAGTTCCCCCGACTTCCTGCTAGCCCTGTTTTCCAGGCCCCCACTTACATCTTTATTTCTTCCTAGAGGAAAGATGCCTTTGAAACTATTTTTACCTCTTAGGCCTTGGATAGGCAGAACCACCTACTTCATTCCCACGGTTGTTTCTCTGCCTCCCTTTTCTGCCCCACATTTGGTGAAATGTGGTTAGACTATGACCTTACTGCATTTCAAACACACTGAACGTCTGGGGCTGAGTCTGAGTCTGGCCCAAGGAGCTGCTTGAGAGGACTGCACATGTCCCGGGAAGACACCAAACTCCTTGTTAGTCCTTCCACAAGTGGAAACTATCCTGCCTGCTGAGATCCCCGCACAACCGTCACCCCACATCTCTGAAGCAGTTGGAGGGGTAGGGTGGGTCACAGGCTTTGCAGGAGGGAAGATGCAGACACAAAGCCCAGCACTGACACTGGACTTTACCCCTCTGAGCCTCAGTTTCCTCATCCTTCACCTGGAGAGGAAATATTGATCCTCAAGGTCGTTAAGGGGCAGCTGGTGAGGGGGTGGGTGTTCAGCAGTGTCCAGCCCTCCTTGGGGATTTGGCAAATGCTGTTCACCCTTGAGTTTTACTGTCAGAGGAATAGAGCAGATTCCCCAGGGAGAAGGCGCAGTGGGATCAGGACAGAAGATTTAACGTGGCCGAGACTGGACACATTCAGGGAGCAGGACCTAGGAAAGTGTGAAGGAATGGCCGTGGGAGGGAGGACACCTCTGGTGTCCAGAGCCCTGACTCTGACCCAGTACCTTGACTGTTCCTGGATCTGCAGTGCAGACACAGTGCCCAGGCCCAGGCTCCTGGGCAGAGCTGGCTGGGGGAGGTGAACAGTAAAGTCTCGCTTTCTTCAAGCAGATGCCCACAGTGCTCAGCACAGCACTCAGGTGTGTGTTAGGAAATAAGTAATCCACCGAGACCACTCTTATTCTATGGAGTGCCTCGCTGCCTGCAGACGGCCAGGTGCTAGGATGATACTGATGGTTGAGGTTCAGTTGTGCTTTCTCCAGGCCTGCTGTGCTTATGCTTGGGGCTGCTGGCTTGAACCCTTTGCTCACATAACTATGGTTACATTCTTGGGGAGCCCTAAGCACTTGGAGGCTTGAGCTTGGGTTCCCTGGATGCCAGCAGGATCAGGCCACACTTCACTTTTTGATGAGTCAAGGGAGGTGGACAGTGGGTGCCAGCCCCAGGTTCCCTTCCACAGCAGTTTGGGGAGACCATGCCAAGAGCAGCCCAGACCTTCTCCTGCATCCTTCCCGTGTCTCAGAGGGACCCTGGCCATGGTTCCAGAGTGGGGAGGCTGTAAGAAACATCAGCGGCTACCTCGTTCGCCTCCCCTGTACCTCAAATCCAAGGACCAGGGAGGGGAGTTTGCTTAAGGTCACCAGGCTGTGTCAGAACGCAAATCCATGATTCCATTTGGCCCTTCCCACCAGCTCAGGGAGTGGCACCTTACTTTCTCTGGGGCCAGCTCTGTTCTTGCATCCTTGGGAAGTAGACTTATGGCTTCCTGGCATCTATGAGGTGCCCCCTCTAAACTCCTGCTGCTGTGATCTGTCAGAAATGCAAATCTGATTCGGTCACTTCCCTGCCTGACATTTTTAGTAGCTCCCCCGTGTCTCTGGAAAAGCCCCTTTACATGCCATTGAAGACCCTTCATGACCTGTCCTTTGTCCTCTCTGCCTGCACCCTCTTCTTACATTGGGCTGCCTGCTCAGGTCCCTTGCCTTGCAGATGCTGTTCCTGCTCTCGAATGCCCTTCCTCTCCTGGTCTCGAAGATTTCTCAGGCTCACTCTGTGGCCTCCTCCTTCCTCTGAGCTCCGGGAGCCTTGGTAATTCCTCTATTAGCACTTATCTCACTGACTCAGAATTATTTGTTTATACGTCTCTTCTCCCCAGGGCAGGAGGCATGCCTTCTGTCTTTGCCTCTCTCCTACCCCACAGTGCCTAGCAGAGGGTCTGAGCACAGCTTAGGAGCAGCACTTGCTAGTGGCATGAATGACCGAAGGACTTATTTGTCCCCAAAGGTCCCCTGCACTATGCCTGAAATGTCCTGCCTGGTCCCTGGCTGTTGTTGGCCTTTGTCTTCCCACAGCTGGGGCCTCTCTTCTCTCTCCAGCAGCTGGCCTAGCCCTGCCCAGACCCTGGGGGCAATCACAGCTTTAGCCCAGGGAGATTTAAAGAGCCAGCACTCAGAAGAGCAGGTGACTCAACTTCCATGAGTTTGGCCACAAGTTCCACTCCCACACTGGGTCTGGGGACCTGGCTTCCACCATATCCCAAGAGAGACCACTTCTCTGGGACCCCAGCCCTGGTCTAAATGGAGTCCCTGAGAGGTGTGGTCCCTTCCACCCAGGCCAGCACCCAGCTGCCAAGCTTCTCTGATACCTGCTGCCCCATCCAGGTGACAAACCATCACTGACACCTACATCTGGAGTGGGAGGGACAGATACACAAATGTGGCACTGGCCATACAGTGTGGCAGAGCTAGGACAGGAGTCAGAGGAGGGGCTGTGGGGTGCAGGGCAAGGTGCCAACACACACTCAGAGGGGGCCTGAGCTGATAATGAGGGGGAAGAAGGAGGTGCGGGTGGGGGCTTCTCTCCAGCTGAGAGCTCTTCAGGGACAGATTTAGAGAAGGACCCCTCACCCCCACTCAGACCCAGAGCCCTCAGCCATGTCTGTGGGGCTCCCTGTCCTCATCCTGGGAGCATGGTGTTCTCAGAAGGGGTTGAGGGGTGAGGGGTAGCTTCCCTGCTTCACATGACTCCAGGTATGCCCACAAATGTTGTCAGTCATTTATTTATTTATTCAGACAACATATAGTGAGTCTCCACCACATGCCAGGGACCAGGCATGGAACCGGGTGGGGGCTGTTCCATGGGGACCAACACATAATCCTGTCCTCATGGGTGCATAGGCCAGTGGAGAGCCAGGGGCACACATAGGTCAAGAGAGCACAGCCTTGCCTGACCCCTCCGATGGCAAAAAGGGCACTGCTGGAGGGAGCACTGTCAGGAAGGGGTAGCTGAACACAGCCCTAGGTGGCACCTCACATGCAGTCCACCGTGCTGGAAAAACAGGTGGACAGAGGGATATCCCCCATTCCCTGGGGTCACCAGATGACTCGTGACAATGTCTTTTAACACAAAGGAGGCAGCAGAGCTCAGGGCCTTTGGGGCCTTTCTAGTTCTGGCTTCTAATCCTGTCTTCACTACTTGAGAGCTGAGTGATCTTGGGCAATGGCTTCACCTCTCTGAGCCTCAGTTTGCCCACCTGTAAAATGGGTTTAGTGTTAGTGTACTTCTGGGGTGGCAGCATGCATTCAGGAAAATAACAGCAAAAGTGCTCAGCACATTGACTTAAGCCTGTTGATGATAATAACAGCAAAAATCGCAGTAACTGGGAAGCCCAGAGCCCTGCAGAGAGAAAAGGGGTGTGTGTGTGTGTGTGTGTGTGTGTGTGTGTAGTTACTAAGGAACTGAGTGGAGGAACTGGAACACCAAGGCCCGCTTTGGTTCGAGTTGGCCAGGAGCCGGAGGGGACAAGTTCCCCCTCCCTTTTCCGCCCCCGCAGTTGGGCGCGCTGTCGGCGGGAGGCGCAGGTGTCCTCTGCGCCCAGCGCATCCCATCCCTCGCCGCCTTGGCCAGGTCCCAGTTCCCTCCTGCCGTCCGCCTGCGTCCTCCCCTAACCTCGGGTCTGGACGGGAGAGCAGGGGCTGGGAAAGTTTGAGTCACAGATGGGGGAGCGGAGGAGGCGGGCCCGTGACCCTGAACGGAGTGGGCTCTAGGACCCACCTCCAGCTCCCAGCAGGGGGACCCCGCCACACGCCCCTGTCCCGCGCATTGCCTGTGGCCCGACGGAGCAAGGCACCGCGCTGCAGTCGCGCGTCGGGCGGCCTGTGGCTGCACCCGGCGGCCTCGCTTGCTCCGACCCGCGCGCCGCCACCGCAGCCCTCAGCGGCTGGGCAGCGCTCCGCACCATGCTCGGGGCTCCGCTTCTGCGGCTGCTGATTGCAGTCTCCACTGCAGTGGCCGTGGCCAGCGTGCCCGGGAGTGCGCTGCCCACCACCACTGGGGATGCCACCCTGGCCTTTGTCTTCGACGTCACCGGCTCCATGTGGGACGACCTGATGCAGGTGATCGACGGCGCCTCGCGCATTCTGGAGCATACCCTGAGCCGCGGCAGCCAGGCCATCGCCAATTACGCGCTGGTGCCCTTCCACGACCCAGGTAGCGCCCCCCGCGGCCCCGCTGGGCGCCTCGCCGCAGCGCGCACACACCTGCCCGCCAGCGACTGTGCTCCGGGCGCTCCTGGACGTCCAACGCCGTCTGCGCGGCGGCAGGGCGGGCGCCTCCTCACCACATTCACGCCACGGGACCCGGGCACCTGGGGCCCTTCCCTCCCCGGGAACCTGTTAGCCCTCTCGCCTCACCTCCCCAGGTTGGCTCTGTCGGGCCAGAGGCGGGTAGCTCGCAGCGCAGCCCCCTTCTTTGGTTGTGAGACTTCAGCAGGTGACTTCGCCTTCCTGAGCCTTACTGTCCTCATTTTAAAAATTGCTGAGAAGTGCCTCTGAAACTGAGGCACTCACGTCCAAGGCCTGGGACTCCACGAGCCGTTTAGGGTTTTTAGTTTTGTTAATTGGAAGAATTCGCCCCTAGCACTGTCTCTGAGGCCACAACAATCCCTCAGAGATAGGCTTTGGAGAGAAATGGGGTGCGCCCTGGAGCCCGGAGAGGGAGGGTCCTGCCCCCAGCCTGTCTTCTCTGGGGAAACAGCAGCCGCGCTGTGAGTGGAGCGCCTTCACCTGCCAGGTTCTCACCGTCCGGCCCCGCGGGAGCTCCTCTCCCCTACAGCCGGCGCCTCTGCTTCCTTTCACTGGGTGTTACAGCCGTCCTCAGAAGGGTCCCTGGAGATCCCACTGTGGAGGGTTCCAGGAAAGGGGCAGGTCCCCCACCTGGAGAGGCAGGATCGCTTTCCCCCTAACAGTCTTCCCTAGTGAAAAATTTCAAACGCAGTAAAATGGGGGAGAAAGCACATCCAACACCTGTGTGCCCCCACCCTGGTCCCTTGTATTTTGCTTTATTATATCTCTCCACCATCCACCCCTCTATCTGGAGACTAAAAAGGAGAAAACATTGACAAATTCCTTGCAAAATTGTACTGCAAAGTGCTGCGAGAATACACGGTGACCTGTATGAGCTGGGAAGCCTTCTAGGAGAATCCACACTTGCTAATCCCACCGTCATCACAGGCACTTAGGAAAATGGGCAGCAGTGTCCACATATAGCTCCAGGCCACCCTTAGGCTGAGTCTGTTGTCAGGCTCAGGGGACCCTCTCCTCCTAGGACTTTGGGCTCTAAAGAGCCCTGTGACGAAAAGCTCAGGCTCTGGGGCCCTAGAGAAAGGTTTCTGGGAACAGCAAATGGACAGTTGGAGTCTGGGGCAATAAAGGTGGGGGGTTGTGAGAAGGTAGGGTCTGAAGTGTGTCCTGAAGCTTAGCTAGGACACGAGTCACCAGTCACCGTCTATCCCTCCAACTCTCCCACCTTCTTTCTGGATTGTTCTTGGGCTTCCAAAGACATCACACTACATGAGCTTAGAGATCAAGTCCTCCCCTTTATCTGGAAGTTGGAGAAACAGAGACTTAACACCAATGAGACTTCCCCAAGGCCACCTGCCCAGGTGACATAATTCCTGATTCTTAACCCATGTTTGTCTGGGAAATGCTTGATTCCCATTGCAGGTAGGATAGTAGCCTTTCAGTGCCAGATGCTGTGTCCTGAGGCCCCAACCTGGGCTCCTGAAGCTTCCTGTGCCACCCCCTCCTGGCCACCAGCTTCAGAAGCCAGCTTCCCACCCCAAGCCCTCCTCTCTGGGTGCTGAGTATGTTCAGCCACCACCCCATCCTCTAAGAGACACCCAGTCTTCCTGCCTGGTTCCCTGATTTATCTTCCCTCCAGACAGGGCAGGTGCAGGCATGGGGCAGGACTTCCGCACAAATCGAGGCCCCGTCTGTGGAACCTGAGAGACCCACAGTCTGGAGGGGTCAGGGTTCATATCAAGGAGCTGGCAGCCTGCTGGGGACAGGCCAGGTGGGGAGTACAGAGTGACAGATGGTGGTGGCTCTGGTACTGGCTTCTGGCAATCAGTGGTCAGGGGAGGGGATGGAGGAAAGTGCCCCTGAGGAAGTGTCATCAGGCTCAGAAAACATCAATGTTTATTGTGGTTTCACTGTTCGGGCAGATGCAGGGTGGAGGGCTCCCTGGGGTGCGCGGAGTACCCTGGGTGAGGGCAGGAGGATGGTCAGGGTGGGACAGGTGTGTGGGGGAGCTGGGTGGGTGTAGGAGGAGGCTGGCGGGTGAGGAAGCAGGGAGGGGTGAGTGGGCCCCAGTGGGTACTACAGGGCTGAGGGTTGGAGGACTTGGATTTCCTTCTATGGGCTGTGAGCAGCCACTGAAGGTTTCCGGGCAGTGACTGTGGTTTAGGTTTGGCTATGTCTTTCTAATCAGCAAATAGAAGCCCCTTGGGTGGAAGAGGTTGAAAAACGGGGCTTTCAGCCAACTGTCCCGGCCCCCAGGGCAGGCGGCACTGCTGGGAGGGTTTTCTTAAAGGAAGCCACTCTCCTGAAGCCCAGTGGGCCGCAGGGCAAGTAGCAGAGCTTCTGGACTGTCCTGGCTGGGAGGCAAACCAGGACTTGTGCTTCCAAAGTACTTTTTAAAGTTTCTAAATAAAAAAAAAGTGCTATGTTCCCAGAGTAGAAAAGTTAGAAATTTGCGAATTGGTTCACATGGCTGAAAATTTAGGTTGTTTTCAGGTTTTCTCTATTAAAAAACACTCTTGTGTAAATCTTTGCTTCTATGATTGGTTTTTCTGTGGGATTCAGTTCCTCGAAGTGGAGTTCCTAGGCCATTTTTAACACAATGAGTGGGAGGGCGACTCTTCAAGCTGTTTTTGAGAACGTTTCAGGAGTTGAAACTTCCACCAAAAGCATTCGAGGGGCCAATTTCAGTGCAGCTGCCCTCAACACTGGGAATTAGGATAAGAATTTATTTTCCTAATTCAAAAGATGGAAAGTGATGTTTTCCTGTTTTAAATCCTAGTGAGGTTCAATGGATGTTTTGTGTGAATTTAATCATTTGTAAATTGTCAGTTTCTTGGCTGATTTTTCTTTGGGAGATTTCAGCGGTTTCCTTTCAGTTGGAGTGAGGATTTGGCTTTAGGTTGACAATAGTAGTATTTTTCAATGTAATTAGCACTTTTCCCGGTCTTTTGTCTTTTAGCATTATTTATGATTTCTGATGTTCTGAAGTTTTAAATGTTTATGTAGAGAAATCTATTGATTCCCGCCCCCCTCACTCCGTGATTTCTTCACTTACATGCTTGTAAAGGTTTTTTCCCCCCCTCTGTTGGAAAATCAATTTGATAGGTTTTCCAGTTTTTTGTTTCATTTTGTTTCCTCTGTTTCTCTTCAAATTTAATTCTTTAACTTGGAATTAAAAAAATTAGAGCATAGTGTAAAAGAGAGTCTACTTCTTCTGGAATAGAATACTTGTTCAGGTAAAAGATAATCTTTTCTTTTTCATTTATCTGCGTCCTGCCTTTTTCTCAAATTACTTGATCTTTTAGGAATTTGTCTGGGCTTATCCTTCTGTCCCATTGCATGACCATTCTTGTGCCAGGAGCAAATTATATTAGTTATAATGGCTTTCTAATATGTACTAATCGGGCAAATCCTTTCTCATATTCTTTGTGCTTTACAAAATTGTAATAAACTCTTTATTTTAGAACAGGGTTAGATTTACAGACTTAGTATGAGGATAGTACAGAAAGTTCAGTATGTAGGCTTTTGATATTTTTTAAAGTACTTTTCTATTTTCTTGCACTAAGCTCCAAGCTCATCTTAAGTATCAATATTTCCTGCCTCAGTCCTTGAATTAGCCGTTTCCCCCAAGGAGCCCTGGTTCCTTTGATTGGAAAGTGGTGTTAGAAGCCAAGATCTGGAGCTAAGCGTGCTTGTTACTACTGAGGTGCCATTGTTCCTAGGCCCTCCCTTAGCTGACAGGGCAAGGAGATATATATTATATACAAGCTGTGTACGTACATGTATCTGTAAATATCTCTATATGTAACTATCTGTATCTATATTAAGCTAAACGTTAGTTTGTGTTGATGTTTCCAGCTCTGATTTATTGCCTCATGGATCATCCTAACGTCTTCCCATTGCTTATCTGTAACCTCCCAGGGTAGCAGTGACTAAGTTGGATCTCACTATCCACTATCCATGTTCTTAACTGTTCAGTTCCAGGATACCGAGGGTGCAAAAAAAATGTAAGAAAGGAAAAAACTGTATTAAATACCCAAGTCACATTTGACTTCTGCGATTACAAGAGGTACAAGACACAATATCCACGATAACAAACATTATTGGTATATATTGAGTATTATAATTTTAATACAGCTTTTTTCCTTTCTTAAAATGTGTGAGGTGGCTCCACGCCTGTGGCTCAAGTGGCTAAGGTGCCAGCCACATACACCTAAGGTGGTGGGTTCGAATCCAGCCTGGGCTCGCCAAACAACAATGACAGCTGCAACCAAAAAATAGCTGGGCGTTGTGGCAGGTGCCTGTGGTCCCAGCTACTTGGGAGGCTGAGGCAGGAGACTCACTTGAGCCCAGGAATTGGAGGTTGCTGTGAGCTGTGATGCCACAGCACTCTACCCAGGGGGATAGCTTGAGGCTCTGTCTCAAAAAAAAAAATGTGGGGGCATTTTTTGGCACCCTCTGTATATAATCCACATACAGTGATGTCAGAATTGTTGAGCTGCACCCCTGTGGGAAACAGCTTCAGTAACTAGAGTTCAGTTCTCTTGCAAACTTCACTCATTTCCAAGGCTGCTGAGGTCAGCACCTAGTCAGCTTCTCCTTTTTATTCTTATTCACCATTTATAAAACATTCTTGAGCATTTGTTCTTTCAGGTAGAATATATAAAAATTAGTCGACTTCCAAAAAAAAAAAAAAAAAAACTTCTTTGCAACTTTTCTGGGAATTGTGATAAATCTTGATTTGGAGAAAGATTATCCTTAAAAAGAATCCATTCGTTCCCATCCAGCAGACGTGCTTCTCCTTCTCTTCACATATTTGTTTCCTTTAGTAAAGATTCAGAGTTTTTTCCTTATAGGTTCCACCCGTTTCTTTTAAAGATCATTTCTAAATATTTTGGGTTTTGTTAC